AAAGAGTTTTAGAAATGTATAAGGATGATCATAATGGACAAGGAAGGAAGTAAAGCAAAGACTGAGAAGAACAGAATGGAGGGGTCAATGGCCTAGAAATTCTAGAAGAGTTGAAGACGTTTTGCAATAGAGTACTTTAGTAAACAAACTGAAAATCACCCCTAATTGAGTCACTAGTCTAAAAAGAGGCATTAAGAAGATATATGTAAAAATAATAAAGTGTTCTAAAATAAACTGTTAACAAAGCAGACACACAGTTCACTTGGAAATGTATTAAAATCACATTTATGCAGCACAGTAGCCTTTAAACAACTCACCAAAACCAAGTACAAAGACTTCACTGACTGAGAAATTTTAATAATCACGTTTAAGAATCCAGATAATATAGGTAGAAGTGCTCATGAGAAGTATTATAAATAGTGCCCAGTCAACCTGATTAGAGCTCCTCTTCTGCTATATACAGTGTTCTACTTCAAATAAAAACTGGTATGATAGTGTGGACATCCCAAATTGGAATACAATGCACTATATAAAATATTCCACTATTTATATAATGAATATTTAGCATTTGAGGCAAACAAAATGTACTAACACCTCAATATAACCTTTAGGATGTCCGATTAAATCCTGAGTTAGTGTCTACCTTTTTCCAAATCTCAAATATAAAACTACATTCAAACAAAACTTCATGGGATTCCATCACTTAAGATCCTGAAGAAAAATTAATTTCCCAAATTTCATACTTTGGGTGATTTGGGTGAACTTTCAAAAGGTGATGTATAGGGTCATTTGGGAATAAGAATTTTTCAAAAATGTATGCTTTGGGACTTAGTAATATTATTACTTGAAGTATATCTTATGAGTCAGTTCCCTGCCCTTGTTAGGAAAACCAAAGAGTAACTGGTGAGGCCTGGATTTTACATAACAGGAATAGTATCACTCAACTGATTTTTCAGAAGACAGAGTACAACTCTTTCTTGAAAACTATATTCTGAAGAATTTTATAATCACCCCCAAAATGGAAACCCTGAAATACCCTGACTATGCTAAATTGCTAAGTACAGCTTTCAACATGCATAGACTTGAAACCCTCAAAAACAGTGACCATCATACCAAGCCCCATATTAAACTCCAATATTATTTTTAAAAGATCCACCAATTGCCCCACTAATCCCTGTATCCTAACAATTCACAGTATCACAGAACCCGTCCCAGGCAAAGAACATCAGGACAACATTAACTAAGTACCAAGTAGCATATGACAATATACTCTGTACTTTCCTTTACATGCACTCAATTCTTTGCTTTTTATATAAATAATTAGCAGTAGCAATGCAGCAGAAACTACTAGACAGAGAAAGTCACATTAAAATTAAAAACCATTCCACAAATAAAGTCACTATCATGACAAAGGAGCTAAAAGCTAATAATATCTCAATTGTAATAAAAAAGTGAACATGTGTAACTATACCTTCAAGCACTCCCACGGCTAGGAATCTTCCATAGAACAACTCTACCATGGGGTTCTTTGGCTTCTCTTCATCCCTAAAAATCACGTTAAAAATATAAATGTGGTTATAATTCTTAATTTTTAGAACTGTAAATAATAGAGAAAACATTAAAAGAACAATAATATATGCCAAGACAATAACATTTATGTGGTTATCATGTGTTTGGCGCTGCGACTTATAGTGTTGGGCCAAATTTATTTTCTGTTTCTTCACCTGTCAACTGAGGATAATAATAGTAATGGAACTCACAAGGTTGTTGTAAGGGTTAAAATGAATTACGATGTGGGACCTTGTTATAAGAAGACCTGAGTAGAGTCTGTATTCAGGAAGTGCCTCATCTTTCCATTATCATTTCGACCTTGAACTTTTAGTCTGTACAATACATGCTTATTTGGACTTGTTGGGAAGGAGGGAAAGCCACTTTTAATCAAAATAAATTTCTATAAAATTTTAATAAGTCACTTCCCACATTTACCCAGAAGAATGAACACTAGCCATCAGCAGTGAAGGAGAAAAACACCAGCTTCAACCCAGGTAGCTAAAGAGAAACTCCATAAAGTTTCATGTTGCTGGTAAAATTAGTCATCTGTGAATTTTCCAAATTCTTTAACATATAAATTTGTTGTTTTTCTTTTTTGCTTGAAGCAAATAGAAACTGACAATTTAAACTTTTTTTTAACGCTTTGTACCGTGTGGTCTAAAAACACAAAGTTTATTTTGGCCTTGCTATATAAAAGTATGTTGTGTCCACAACTGCAGAAAGACTTTTTCTTCATAAATTTTGTGTTTAAATTAGTAAAACTGATTTATTTTAAAAAAGAGAGAAGGACACTATCTGTCTCTTGATATATGTGTTACATTCACCCTCATTTAAACCACAAAATAATTGGTGGGAAGTACTTCACTTAATCTCTGGAACAATCCTATGAGGTAGTGTGGTGGTCATCAGTGCTATTCAAAAAGATTTGTCCCTCTACTTTTAGGTACATAGTAAGAAGCACTTTCCCATTTACTTTTTATTGAAATTTGAAAAAAATCTGAACTGTGATAAAATACACACAATATAAAAGTTACCATCTTAACCATTTTTAAGTTTACAGTTTGGCAGTGTTAAGTATATTCACACTGTTGTACAACCAACTTCCAGAACTATCTTTCATCTTGAGAAACTAATTAAACAACTCTACATTCCTCCCTCCCTCCAGGCCCTGGCAACCACCATCCTAACTTTCTGTTTCTTTGAGTTTGACAACTATTGACACATCATATAAATGACATACAGTGTTTGTCTTTTTGTGACTGGCTAATTTCACATAGCATCATGTCTTCAAGGTTCATCCATGTTGTAATATGTATCAGTTTCCTTACTTGTTAAGGATATTCCATTGTATGTGTATAACACATTTGTATTTCCATTCGTCCATGGACACATCAGTTGCTTTCACCCTGCTATCAATTCTTTTGGATATAAATTCAGCAGTAGAATTGCTGGATCATGTGGTTAATTCTTTTATTTTCATCTTTATAGATACAATTGACCAACAAAATTTTAAGGTATTTAAAGTACAATGTGAAGATCTGACATATGTATACACTGTGAAAGGATTCCCTCCATCAAATAATTTTATTAGTATTAATTTTTTGAGGAACCACCATGTTTTCCACAGCAGCTGCACCGTTTTACATTCCCATCAACAGTGCACAAAAGTTTCAATTTTTTCACATCTTCATCAACACATGTTATTTTCTGTTTTGTTTTGGTTTTGGTTTGGTGAGGGTTTTTTGGGGGTTTGTTTTTTGATAGCAGCCATCCTAATGGGTATGAGGTGTTCCCATTAACTTTGAAGTTAAGTAAACCACATGACTTGCTCTGCACAACAAAATGTGAGTGGAAGTAATGTGTGCCATTTCTGGGCTGTAACTTTGAGTGCCAGTATACTTTCCACTGATGTGGTGATCCCAGAATCCTGTGATGAGATGAAGCCTCTGTCAGCATAAGGCCCTGTCAATGGATGTGCAGAGCCCCTTGTTCACACTCACTGGGCATAGCTAAGGCTATGACATAAACCTCTGAAGTTTTGGGGATGTTGCCACAGGATTATCTAGCCCACCCTAAATGGCAGCAGGTGGCACTCTTACCTCTATTGCACTGGTAATAAAACTGTAGACTATGCTAAGTCACTTGCCCAAATTCACACAACTAGTAAGTGCTCAAACTGAAAAGCAAACTCAAGTCTGCCTCTAAAACCTATGAATCCTCCCACTATGCATACTTAATCTCTGGGCATTTTAGCTCTATGAAAACAGTTTATTTCATACCTTATTTTTTACACTGTGACTTGAGACTGATATGGGGGAGAGGAAGAATTCAAAGATTGTCTCTCTTAATGTAAAAGTCTATGAATCTTTAGACATAGATATTAGTATATCCATTTCCACAGGTCATATTTCCATGTAGAAAAGCAACACTCCTGGTTTCTCTCCTTACTGTCACATATATACTGCATAGAAAGAGCAGTGACATACCAGGTTGGTGACTTTGGCCGAAGAAACTGGGTAAGAGCTGCTCGACTAATTCTGAATTCTCTTTCCAAATCTTCCTATCTGAATTTTGGTCTGCTCTCCACTGACCTGTTGTGTGCACACTGACCTTCCCTAAGGAGTCAGACAGACCAATCTTCTAGAAATTGTTTACCCTGTCCTTCTTTGCAACGTCTCAGAGGTCTTACTCTTTACTGTGCATTTAAGCTTTGAATATCAGGGAGTAACACTGTGGTTATCGACAGAAATGTAAGGAACCCAAGTGAAGAGCAATTTAAAAGACGTGAGACTTCTATTGATATAACAGAAATGATATACTCACCACTTGCATGAAGAAAAGCTAGATTGACACAAATAGCAAAGGGCAAAAGAAATCACTAAAGAAAACCTGTATCAGGGACACTTTAGCCTTGGGAATTAGGTCGACACAGAAAGAGTTCAGAGATCTAGGGCAACTGATAGAGTAACCTACTCAGTGCTTCCCAATCTTTTTAATGTCACTGGCACACAGATAATATATGCAGAGAACTCTGGAATAAAACCACATGTTTTCTCATGATCAGAGAAACAGGATCAATACCTCCACATACCTATAATCTGGCTTACCATGGCACAACAACTGGAAAGCTCTGTTCTAGATAGGCAGAGCATAGTGGTTCAAAAAGTTTTAGCTTGGGGCTTCCCTGGTGGCGCAGTGGTTGAGAGTCCGCCTGCCGATGCAGGG